TATGGTCCACGTCTGGTAATACTGCAAAAGTGTATGTTCCACGTCTGGTGGCAATACTGTGTGCGTATGTTCCACGTTCAAAAGTAATATCAAAAAGTGTTCCACGTCTGGTATAATACTGTGTGCGTATGTTCCACGTCTGGTATAATACTGTGTGCGTATTTTCCACGTGTTATATTAGTGTGTGTATGTTCCATGTCTGGTATAATACTGTGTGCGTATGGTCCACGTCTGGTATAATACTGTGTGCGTATGTTTCACTTGTTATATTACTGTGTGCGTATGTTCTACGTCTGTATAATAATGTGCGTATGTTCCGCCCGGTATAATACTGTGTAAAAGTGGCGTTCCACGTGTTATATTATTACGTGTGTGTGTATGTTCACGTGTTATATTACTGTGTGTGTATGTTCTTGTCTGGTATATACTGTGCGCGTATGTTCCATGTCTGGTATTATACTGTGCGTATTTTCCATGTGTTATATTACTGTGTGTGTTTGTTCCATGTCTGGTATAATACTGTGCGTATGGTCCACGTCTGGTATAATACTGTGTGCGGCGTTTCACTCTTGTTATATTACTGTGTGCGTATAGTTCCACGTCTGCATAATAATGTGTGCGATGTTCTATGTCTGGTATAATACTGTGTGCGTATGTTCTATCGTGTTATATTACTGTGTGTGTATGTTCCATGTCTGGTATAATACTGTGCGTATGTTCCATGTCTGGTATAATATCATGTGCGTATGTTCCACGTTATATTACTGTGTGTGTATGTTCCATGTCTGGTATATTACTGTGTGTGTATGGGTCCACGTCTGGTATATAATACTGTGTGCGTATGGTCCACGTCTGGTAGGCAATACCGTGGTGCGTATGGTCCACGTCTGGTATAATACTGTGTGTGTGGCGGTCCACGTGTTATATTACCGTGTGCGTATGGTCCACGCCTGGTATAATACTGCGTGTCATATCCACGTGTTATATTACTGTGCGCGATGGTCCACGTTCGGGTATAATACTGTGTGCGCATGGTCCACGCAGGTTATACTGTGTGTGTATGGTCCACGCCTGGTATAATACTGCGCGATGGTCCACGTCTGGTATAACACTGTGTGCGATGGTCCACGTCTGGCATAATATCAGGCGATGGTCCACGGTGGTGGTTATATTACTGTGTGCGAGTGGTCCACGTCTGGTATAATACTGTGTGCGTGAGCGGTCCACGTTTCGTATATTACTGTGTGTGTATGGTCCACGTCTGGTATAATATCAAAAGGTGATGGTCCACGTCTGGTATAATACTGTGTGCGATGGTCCACGTCTGGTATAATACTGTGTGTGTATGGTCCACGTCTGGTATAATACTGTGCGTATGGTCCAGCGCATATTGTGTGCGTACGGGTCCACGTCTGGTATAATACTGTGTGCGGCGGTCCATGTCTGGTATATTATTGTGTGCGATGGTCCACGCTCCGGTATAATACTGTAAAGCGTATGTTCCACGTGTTATATTACCAATGCGATGGTCCACGTCTGGTATAATACTGTGTGCGATGTTCCACGTGTTGCATTACTGTGTATGGTCCACGTCTGGTATTTACTGTGTGTATGGTCCACGTCTGGTATAGTACTGTGTGCGAAGGTCCACGTCTGGTATAATACTGTGTATGGTCCACGTCTGGTATATTACTGTGTGTGTATGGTCCACGCCTGGTATAATATCAGTGTGTACACCGTCTGGTATATTACTGTGTGTATGGTCCACGTCTGGTATATTACTGGGTGTATGGTCCACGTCTGGTATAATACTGTGTGTGTATGGTCCACGTCTGGCATAATACTGTGTGTATGGTCCAGTTCGGCATATATTACTGTGTGCGTATGGTCCACGTTCGGTATAATACCGTGTGCATGGTCCACGTCTGGTATATTACTGCGTGCGTATGGTCCACGTTCGGTATAGTACTGTGCGTATGGTCCACGTCTGGTATAACATCGTGTGTGTATGGTCCATTGCCTGGTATAATACTGTGTGTGTATGTCCACGTCTGGCAGTAATACTGTGTGTGTATGGTCCACGTCTGGTATATTACCGTGTGTGTATGGTCCACGTCTGGCATATTACTGGGTGTATGGTCCACGTCTGCTGGTATAATATCGTGTGTATGGTCCACGTCTGGTATAACACTGTGTATGGTCCACGTCTGGTATATTTACTGTGTGCGTATGTTCCACGTCTGGTATATTACTGTGTGTGTATGGTCCACTTTCGGGTATATTACTGTGTGCATGGTCCACGTCTGTATAATACCGTGTGTATGGTCCACGCCCGGTAGCATTACTGTGTGTGTATGGTCCACGTCTGGCATAGTACTGTGTGCGTATGGTCCACGTCTGGTAAGTAAATACCGTGTGTGTATGGTCCACGTCTGGTATATTACTGGGTGTGTATGGTCCACGTCTGGTATATTAATGGTGTGTGTATGGTCCACGTCTGGTATATTACTGTGTGCGTATGGTCCACGTCTGGTATAGTACTGTGTGTATGGTCCACGTTTATATATTATCAAAAGTGTATGGTCCACGTCTGGTATAGTACTGTGGTCCACGTTTGGTATATTACTGTGTGCGTATGGTCCACGTCTGGGTATATTACTGTGTGCGGCGTCCACGTTCGGTATATATTGTTAATAAAAAGTGCATGGTCCACGTCTGGTATATTACTGTGCGTATGGTCCACGTCTGGCACACAAAGCGATTGTCCATATTGCCCGGTATATTACTGTGCGATGGTCCACGTCTGGGCATTACTGTGTGTGTATGGTCCACGTCTGCGGCACATTGTGTGCGTATGGTCCACGTCTGCAGGTATTACTGTGTGCCAGCGGTCCACGTCTGCAGGCATACTGTGTGTGTATGGTCCACGCTGGTATATTACTGTGTGCGATGGTCCACGTCTGGTATATTACTGTGTGCGCATTGTCCACGTCTGGTATATTACTGTGTATGGTCCACGTCTGGTATAGTACCGTGCGATGGTCCACGTCTGGCATAACACTGTGTGCGATGGTCCACGTCTGGTATATACAACAAAGCGACATCACGTCTGGTATAATACTGTGTGTATGGTCCACGTCTGGCATATTACCAAAAATGATGGTCCACGTCTGGTATATTACTGTGTGTGCATGGTCCACAGTCTGGTATATTACTGTGTGTGTATGGTCCATGTCTGGTATATTACTGTGTGTGTATGGTCCACGTCTGGTATATTACTGTGTGTGTATGGTCCATGTCTGGTGTATATTACTGTGTGTGTGTATGGTCCACGTCTGCATATTACTGTGTGTGTGTATGGTCCACGTCTGGTATATTACTGTGTGCGTATGGTCCACGTCTGTATATTACCGTGCGTATGGTCCACGTCTGGTATATTACTGTGTGCGTATGGTCCACGTCTGGTATATTACTGTGTGTGTATGGTCCACGTCTGGTATATTACTGTGTGCGTATGGTCCACGTCTGGCATATTACTGTGTGCATATTATCCACGTCTGGTATATTACTGTGTGTGTATGGTCCACGTCTGGCGCAGTGTCGTGTGCGTATGGTCCACGTCTGGCAGGCATTGTGCGTATGGTCCACGTCTGGTATATTATCGCAAAAGCATGGTCCACACGTCTGTGCTAACATCGTGTGTGTATGGTCCACGTCTGGTATATTACTGTGCGTATGGTCCACGTCTGGCAGGCTTAATGTGCGTATGGTCCACGTCTGGTATATTACTGTGTGTATGGTCCATTGCCCGGTATATTATCGTGTATGGTCCACGTCTGGTATATTACTGTGTGCGTATGGTCCACGTCTGGTATACATTGTGTGTGTATGGTCCACGTCTGGTATATTACTGTGTGTGTATGGTCCACGTCTTGGTATAACACTGTGTGTGTATGGTCCACGTCTGGTATATTACTGTGTGTGTATGGTCCATGTCTGGTATATTACTGTGTGTGTATGGTCCACGCCCCGTATATTATCATAGGTGTGTATGGTCCATGTCTGGTATATTACTGTGTGTATGGTCCACGTCTGGTATATATTAATGTGTGTATGGTCCATGTTCGGTATATTACTGTGTGTGTATGGTCCACGTCTGGTGCATTACTGTGTGTGTATGGTCCATGTTCGGGTATATTACTGTGTGTGTATGGTCCACGTCTGGTATATTACCGTGTGTGTATGGTCCACGTCTGGTATATTACTGTGTGTGTATGGTCCACGTCTGGCATATTACTGTGTGTGTATGGTCCACGTCTGGTATATATTACCGTGTGCGTATGGTCCACGTCTGGCATATTACTGTGTGCGTATGGTCCACGTCTGTATATTACTGGGTGTGCGTATGGTCCACGTCTGGTATATTACTGTGTGTGTATGGTCCACGTCTGGTATATATTACTGTAGTGCGTATGGTCCACGTCTGGTATATTTACGGGGTGTGTATGGTCCATGTCTATATATTACTGTGTGTGTATGGTCCACGTCTGGTATAGCATTGTGTGTGTGTATGGTCCACGTCTGGTATATTATTGTGTGCGTATGGTCCATGTCTGCATATTCCTGTGTGCGCGTGTCTATCTCAGGTGAGAACATGTCCGTGGGATGTTAGGTTGTGGTTTACTTGAGATGCTTGGCTGGTCCTAAGGTCGTCTTTCATTTGAAAGAGGGGACAATTTCGTGTTATCTTTTCATTACCTAGGTGAAAGTGCAAACACAATGTTGTTTATACATCTCGGAAAACAGACCTGGCTCTAGTGGTTGTTATAATTTGTGCAACGTCATTGAAATACAACAACCTGATTGGGTGACGCGGGAAAAATACTTCTAAGGTGGTCTGTGCTCCGGCATCATTGGTCCTTGCATGAGCTGATTGGTGTTCGTCACGATTACGTCACTATCCCGTTCACCAGTAGCGAGGTGGCAATGTCGAGGGAGTTGGCAGATTTTCAGGGAGACAGATCATAGTGCGGGTGACGGGGAGACTGGTCGGGTGTTGCTGTCTGTTGATACGGTTCGAAGCTAATGTACAACTTATTAACAGTGACTGCGGTAATTTCGCCTCAAATTAACATAATAGATTTTTCTCTAAGTACAAGCTGGTGATTGTTAACTCTCTTCTCTGTGTAGTGTTGACTGTTAACATACTAATACAGTACTGTTATGGTTGTGTGAAAAATCAAGACGTACCCGTAGACCATATACCATATCCGAGAGCTTAACGAAAGAAATTTTTAAGCATTAATACCGAGGGAGAGATCTTGCCTCAAAAGACATGGCCAGTGTAATTAAAATGATCAACAGCTTCAAGAGCAACCACTTACACGGCGGGAAGCGCTCGCCTGCCCATACCTCCAAGGACACCACCCTGAGGGAGGACCTGCCTGAAGGCTGCCCCAACAGCGACCTCGTGAACCGACGGAGGGTGTCCATCTCCAAGAGCGGCCGTTATAGGGAGAACCACAAGAGACGAAGTGCCCTGCCCGACGACACCAGGAGTAGCGACTCAGACACCCCAGCCAGCCCTACCGAACCTGTTGACACCCAGAATGTTCTACTGAGAGATAAGGTAAGGAACTTCTTGTTTATGTCTTACTGAGAGACAAAAAAGAAACTTTGTATGTCCTATTGAGACACGAAATAGGAACTTGTTTTACGTCCTGAGAGATGAGGTGAGGAACTTGTGTCTTACTGAGAAAAGGTAAATTTGAGAAGCTTTCTTAACTATATCCCGACTAAGATAAAAAGAGGGACATTCTGAGAGTCAAGATAAGATACTTTTCAATATACTGTACCTTAATAACCACTCAGTGCGTATTGAGACTAGCAGTCACTGTTTAACTCTATTCTGATCACTTGAAGATTAGGCCTCCATTTCACCTCAAGGTTAACCGCCCTAACGCTAATCAAACCTAACACCGTAGGTAGCATTAGTGTGTTTAATGCTCATTTGAAAGGTAAACATATTTAATTAGACTTATTACGTATGTTAGTGTTGTGTTTTGTCCATTGGAGTGCGGTGACTTGGTTGTGGTTTAAGGTGTTCATGTTGTTGAAGATGATACTGGAGTTATGAGGCAAAGGTTAGAATAATGTTTAAAGGAGGATTTGGGAGATAAAAGTTAGGGTATTATTACAACTTCTGCCCCAACTCGATTAGAGCAATATTGTGATTACCATAAGTTATATCTTGTCAATAGGGACATTTTTTTCTAATACCACTTCCGTCGCAAATGGATATTAACTGAGAAAGTAAATTCACGTAAGAATTTTTTTTAGCTTTTATTTAAAATTTTAGAATTTACATAAATATTACATATTAATATATGTGTCCTTGAAATATTTAGATGACTTCTTTCCATGTACACTTGATCGTCCTTTACCCAAATCATTGGACAATAATAAATTAATGTAAATCTGCAGTCACCGCGGCTTGTGTGGGTTTTTTTTCCAGCCGACCCGTTCAGTCTGAAGTTACTCTCACGTCCACAATAAACGTAAAATTACACTGATGCTTCAACAAAGTTGCTTCCATTGGCACCAAATATCAAAATAAGTACTTTCTGTTTAATATGGCAGGGGCAGCTAGGAAGTTGGGTAAGTTTAGGTAGGTTTCTTTGGTTGGTTAGGTCAGGTTGTAATGGGGGGAGGGGGGTTGAGTCAGTGTCAAACTTTTAAGTCAAGGAACAGTCACGATACTTATTGGGGTTGTTCACTAGTAAGTTCAATCTTAGTACACAAGGTTATTGGCAATGAGGAACTTCCATTAACATTTACCTTAAAAGAACTTACTGCAGTTCCTCATACGATCACAGTTAGTGGCATCATATTATAATATATATATATATATATGTAATGGAAACATGTCAGACGTGAGGTCGCCAGGCTTCGATCAGCCTCATTACTATGCCTTGTAATTACCTTCTTTGTATTTTTCTCTCTCACTGTAGTAATAGAGTAAACTGCAGTTCCTTGTTGACCTGCTCTCAGAAGGTTATAAAAGAACAGTTAGTTTCACAATGCGTTGAGTGGTCACTTACAGTACTCCATTGTGATAAGTTATCGTATTTACACGCTGGTAGGAACCTCAGCTTCCGTTTGATCTGTCTGGAGATTATTGGCTGCTCGAAATACACAATTCGAGACTGTAGAGGCACAGCGTGCTAAATACACTAGATATTAACTACCAGAAATTTAGAGGCACTTGATAATGTAGCACTGTAGGTGGTTGAGGAACTGGGCAGACAGACGGTCAGGAATTGAATTTCTAAACAATACTGAACTGTTGATCATATTTTTTTATGGTTAATACGCATTTTTGAAGAGCCAACGTGATGATCTTATAAGTTAGATTAAATAATTCTAAACATTGACTACTCACGGCCGACGTATTGGACGGTGCGTGAGGGAGGTGACCCACGGGTAATGCCTTTTTTTCAAACAGTAAGAAGCGTTAATATTTTGATCTTACTGTCATGGAAATTTACCAGGAAAATTTGTATTATTGCTCTCACTTCTCGAGGTGTGTAGATAGTTACAGTGTATAATATATAGACAACACTCTTCGCCCCACTCACGCGCTGCCTTCCTCAATTCGTTATGGTCCAGTGATTTGGGTAAAAGTTGAGTCATTCTCTGATTCACATATAACAGCTTGAAAAAGACCTTCATCATCTGCAGCGGTTTGGTTGTGGTTCTGACGCCAGTTCCCTGAGTAATACGACCTTACTCACGACTCATTGGTAACGTGGGATCACATGGAGATTACCCCCCCCTGTTTATTCACCTGGTAATAACAGTTGGCACTAAGGAATCCGACATAATTAAGATCTTCCTGTTTCTTTGTTGAAAAGGACATACACACACACACACATGCTGCTTTAGTTGCTCGTATATTACAGTGTTTCCATTTTTATCAGTTATGGGAATTATTGTTTTAATCAGTATAATTTACACTACTATACTGGCAGCTCATGTAGTCGCAGCGGGAGCAAAATAATCATGTCGCGTTCGCTTCTGTTTATCTGGGTCTCGTTTCCGCCATCCTTATTGTGTACTGTATAATTATATATCCGGTTCTGGTCTAGAATTCACAGGTATTCATACGTAGATGTTTTCCTTGTTAATATATAAGGGTGACTAGCCAGCACAAGACAATGTCCAGAGAATATCGCCATAACTTCATGTAGCACCAGTTTAGTACATAGTGAATCCTTAGATAGATGCTAAGTGAAGTCACTAGTTAATTTTGACGTCATATTTATACGTTTCTGTTGTGTTTCACTCTCATTCTCACATATTCACTTGACAGGGATAGTCATCGTCGGAACATTTCAGAATCTGGACGGAGCTCAGGCCAACTGCTTCCTGGGTTCCGTTTTCTATTATAAACTGTTACAATACACGGGGCGCTGTGTGCTAAAACATTCAATGTCATGTTTATTCCAGTTCTGTTTTTAAGACCTTGTGCGGAGGTGTTTCAATTCCGGTGTTATTTTAAGAATTTTAATACGAGTCAATGTGTTTTAACACCCAATACAGTGTTTAAAATCCGTTTGCGTTCTTTTAAATACTTAAATCACAGGAAGATTAGCTCCCTGCTTATTGCATCTTATGATCAACCACACTAACCTTACCTAAACACTCGGGTAGCGTAAAGGTGTTGAATCATCAGGTGAAATAAGTTGAGGGTCTAATCTTCATGTGATCATCTGACTTGTTGGGTAAATCTAGAGAAGTGGTCTTAGGTGTGGCGTCCTGTTCATTGATGTGGTGAGAGGTGTATGACGGTGTGTTACTAGAGGTACTCCAAACTATGATGGTGACCTTTGATCTCCACATGATGACTCAGTAGGTCAAGAGGGCTTCAGTTGTAACAGACGCAGCCCCTAACCTAACCTAACCTAAGAGTACCCACTAGGACTTGGCCCCAACACTTGAATCACTGGGTTGGGCTGCGACCTTCTACAAATGGGTACCACTGGGCTAGTCAAACTTCCTCCAAATATAGAATAATTCTTAGCCAACACACACACACACACGTTTAATCAGTCTGTTTTGGTGTTTGTAAGACGTCACATATTATGCTATCTCAACTATTGTTTATTTTAGCAGAGTGGCATCTATCCAACGTCAAGCTGTTACTACTAACCAATGGCATAATAATCAATGGAACTCGTCTTTGTTCTGACAGTTCCTAATTGTTCTGCCATACATGTGTTAGTAGGGTAAATAAGAACCAATAAATCACCTACGGGTATAAATGACAAATTTGGTTTAAGAAAATTTCAGTGGAGATGCTTACCTGTGTCTCAGGTTGGTGTAAGACAGTTTACTGTACTGAGAATGGATAAAGTGATATATTCAGTAGAAAAGATAAACAAGAAAATAGATAGATAGAGTTGGTTGAATTTAATAATGGTTTTGTTCATATTTCTTACGTCACTGCTTCAGGCATATTACTAGGAATAATTTTTTGGGGGGTAGTTTTTTTCGTACTTTGAATTTGCACAATAAACTGGTATTGGGAGATATATATATTGTAATAAAATTACCATAACTTTGTATTGTTGTTAATGTTATTACTTTGTTTGGTAATTTTTAATATTATTATTATTATTATTATTATTATTATTATTATTATTATTATTATTATTACTGTTTATATGCGGGCAACTCATCAGTGTAACCAACCCAGTTACTCTGTGTATAAATATTAAAAGTATAGCTTGAGAGAAAACCATGAAGGGATATATCATAAGTGTTGTCTGGTAACATTTACTTCTGTGTTGCAGGACAAGAAGAACAAGGAGAATGAGAAGAACAAGATGAACGCCACCCGCCGTGAGAGCGACATCAGCCTCACTGATGGTCACGCCGTAGCTGATGAGATCGAGTCCCTGGCCAAGACTATAGAAAATGGAACTAAGGCGGATTTAGCTCTAACTTAGATATTCTTTGGAAGTTACATTGGATGTTTGTGATATCTAGTTTTTAGGTATAATTTGTGACCCAGTGATTGTCACTCGATATCATGTTAAGGTTTAATATTTCTATAACTCTGTATAACACTTACTAGGGTTTACACGGTAACCCACCTCACTCTTATGTCACCTGCTTCAAGTTCTCAAAGATCCGTATTTTGATATTTTCCAAAATGAGGGAAAGAGAACGTTTCTAGTTGCAGTTGCGTCTTATTGTAACTGGAACGTCATTTAGGAGATGGTATATTTCCCGTAGTTCAATTGAGTTAGTCATGTGTGTGTTCCCATACCCTGTAATATCTCCACGCAAGAGAAACTGTCACGTACGATTTCTGATCTTTGAGAATCCGAGCCGTGATTACACCATAGTTGCTCCAACCTTGTTACGTTAGTGTGAACGTGTGGCGTTATCGTGCCTCGTTTGTTATCGTATGAGATAAGAAGCTTTTAACCCATATGTCTCAAGAATGGATATGTGTTAAGACTAGGCTGAACGTCGTAATGTTTGTTTATTTATTTTTTTTAGACAAGTTAAATGTCACCTCGGTGTTTCCAGGTACAGTACTCGCATCCGGAGAAAGACTAAATTCCCGATAGAGGCGGTTAGCAGAAGAAATAACTTATGGAATTCCTTCATATATTTCGCAGGTGTTGTTTGGATGATAGTGTAATAAAAACAATACAACGGCTTTTTCCTTTAATTTTTTGTTTCGTTTTTCTCTATATTCTTTTATTAATCGCCTACAGTGGACAGGGCATGAAAGAAGCGGGAAATGTCGTGATAAAACACGGCGAAAACTTACCATATATATATACAGTATATATATATATATATACATACATACACACACACACACACACACACACACACACACACAAGTAAATCACTGTAGGTGCGCGTGATCCAGGTATATGCTGATAACCACAAGGAAAAAAGAAAACACACAAGAAATTTCTTGTTTCAATGCAGATATTAACCCTTGATACCGAATGGAGTTTCAAGCTACCAGTAGCATACTGGGGCCAAGCAACCATGCCAGCATAGTCTTAGTTGCCATTTTTATATTCTCAAGTCATGTACGAGAAAGAAATGTTCTTCCTCGCTTCATACAGTGTTGTCTGAGGTCCATACTACCCAATAAGATGCAACACATGATGGGGTCGAGATTTATCTAATATAACATTTTGTGTAATTAGACTGACTGCCTTAGTCTTTATTAAGGTTGAAAATACTAGTGTGATAATTAGTCATTGACACTACTAGGATTCTAAGTTTTGGGATTGTAGGATAAAATGCCACTAAACCTAATCCAGCCATATTGTAACCTATCTACAGTATTTATCCTCACTAAACCAAACTTAAACTAATCTTAAAAAGTCAAGAAACTGGTAACCTAATCTTACTTAAAGTAAGTCCTTCAAACTAGTCTAACGTCGCCTTGAGCAAGTAGGATTTTGCCCACTGTTGGTCTGGTGGTAGAATTTTGTACAGGTGGTGAAACTGTCTAACTGGATTATGATTGCTGTTTTTACCGTCTGCTTAGAAATTGTTTCTAACCTAAAGAGTGTACAGTATAATCATACGTGTTTCAAATATAACTGAGTCTACCTGTCTACCCAGCAACGCTTATTCACATCACACATGAATGTTCCAAATAATCTAAAAATATGTATAGTCAGACTCCTGTGTTATGAACCAAACTTAGAAGCACTTGTAAACTATTTTTCAAAGCGAATATAGTACATGAAAAGTTTCGGCAAAAGCTTTTAATCCCAATAACAATTCATTTTGCAGTTGACTTCCTACGTTTAATTTCTGTTTAGTTAGATGATGAGTGAGTATTTTTGTATAGTATTGTATGTAGTATTTACCAGATAAAAGGAGCTGATCATATTACCACCTTTCCTTGTAATGCAGTGGCTGCGGGGACACCACCCTCAGGTTAATTTATCATGTTTGTAAATTAACATACGTAGGTACTTGAGATAAGGTGGAGTGGGTGGGTGTTTCTTGATAAAGTTGTCTCCCTTTGTGTACCACCCCACTACCCCCCACACACACCCACACCCTCCCCTACACCTCTTCCATCCTCACGTCAACTGTCATCATCATCCTTCCACTCACTGTTCTACCAACCACCATCCACTCACTGTACTGTTCCACCATCCACTCACTTTCTGTTCCACCAACCACCATCCAATCACTGTACTGTTCCTCCATCCACTCACTTTCTGTCCCACCAACCACCATCCACTCACTGTACTGTTCCACCATCCACTCACTGTACTGTTCCACCATCCACTCACTGTCTGTCCCAACCACTCACTGCACTCACTCACTGTCTGTCCCGTCAACCACCATCCACTCACTGTACTGTTCCACCATCCACTCACTGTTGTTCCACCATCCACTCACTGTGTTCCACCATCCTCACTGTACTGTTCCTGCTCCCTCACACTGTACTGTTCCACCATCCACTCACTGTCTGTTCCACCATCCTCCCTGTCTGTCCAACCATCCACCTGTACTGTTCCACCATCCACTCACTGTACTGTTCCACCATCCACTCACTGTACTGTTCCACCATCCACTGTTCCACCATCCACTCCTGTCTGTCCCACCAATCCACCCTCCATCACTGTACTGTTCCACCATCCACTCACTGTACCATCCACTCACTGTTCCACCACCACTCACTGTACTGTTCCACCATCCACTCACTGTCACCAACCACCATGTACTGTACCACCATCCACTCACTGTACTGTTCCACCATCCACTCACTGTACTGTTCCACCATCCACTCACTGTCTGTCCCACCAACCACCATCCATTCACTGTACTGTTCCACCATCCACTCACTGTACTGTTCCACCATCCACTCACTGTACTGTTCCACCATCCACTCACTGTCTGTCCCACCAACCTCCATCCACTCACTGTACTGTTCCACCAACCACTCACTGTACTGTTCCACCATCCACTCACTGTCTGTCCCACCAACCACTTATTTTCCACCTGTCTCATAACCACCCAGTCGTTCGGTATCTTTTTATTATCAGTATTTCTAAGTTCCCTGTTATCGCTTTTCTAATTAATTACATACACAATCTCTGTTTATGTCCTGGCAATTGTATTTATGTTTCTTTGCCATCTTCTATATTTTTGGAGGAGACTTGAGATTTGTATATTTGTGTCTTGCAGTTATAAACACCTCCATCATTGCTGTGTAGGATTCTGAGACTTCTTGACACATAACATCAAGTGGGTTGTTTTTGTTCAGGTGATAGGTAGCTGCGTGGAAGTCTTCGCTCCAGTGGATGTACAATTTTTTTTATTGTCACCTTGTTGGAAAGGTTTTGCCGTTGTGTTATAATGAGTCGCAGTGAGGCTTGCTTGTTTTAGGGAACTGCTTCATTATGTCAGCAGTGTTTCCCTTGGTAATGGTTCGCTCTTGGTGCTTTGACTACTGCTTCAGTATTTCGATTCGTTAATACACTGTTCTTGAACTAGCATATCCCTCAAGTCCCTTTTTATTCTGTGTTCAGTGTTTCAGAAGGAGGTTTCATTTCCACGAGGGTTCTAACCAAATAATTGTACAGTCTCACGTGTTTGTTATAGACAGCCAGATGATAAGATTCAGTTTGCACATTTAAGCTAAAAGAATCTTCTTGAAGTCTTATGAAACTTATAGAGTATTATATAAGTTTTGGTAGACGTGTCTCAATTGTGTATAAGCTAAATTATGATATAGTATATATAGATGTGGAATTAAATAATAAAACTTTTAATGTTAATTTTATTTATCTAGCCTTGATATTCTGATTAATGTTCTATCAATTTTACAATAATGAAACTGAAGGTAACTGATTGGTACGGCTGGCAGTGATATTACTCAACAATAACAAATGCTAAGTCCACACAACAAAGATAAAATACTGTTTTTAGTCCTTGCGTTACAGTACCTCCCTTGAGTGTACGTGTGTTGACTGAGGAGTAAAGCTTACTCTTCCTGTGTTCATTGGGGTTACAGTATGCAATCATTATCATCACAAAAATAATCTTTATTAGTGTATATATATATATATATATATATACATATATATATATATATATATATATATATATAGAGAGAGAGAGAGAGAGAGAGAGAGAGAGAGAGAGAGAGAGAGAGTTTTGTATTATTTGTATGTGCGAGTTTCAAACTCACTGTAGCGAAGTATTAAGCACGATCGTGGGTTTGAATCGTAAATACTTCAGGTACAAAGGTCTTTAAGTGGGCCAGTCACTGCCTGTAGCTCGGTCACCAATAAGAGAAAAACACTCGACGGCACCTACACACAAAAAAAGGCAATTAGGAACTTATCAAGACAAACAGTAGTCAGTGGTGAGATAAGATTATATAATGCACTTAGTGTAGGTGTTGGCAGACGGGAAGTTGAAAGTTGATTCTTATCGTGATTGACTTGGAAATGACTTGCAGATATTAAACTAGGTTGCAATTATTACTTAACTCATCTGCCGCGGTCACCCTCATCTTTCGCTACCTCGAAGAATGAGAGCTGGTTGACTCATCAGTCCAGAGTGGCATCACACCTTCACACAACTCGTGGGGATTTAACATCAGATAACAGTCTTGATTACGTGGACTGTCACTTATCTAGGTGTGGGGGGTTGGGTTGGTTGAGGGTGTATATTTTGACGTAAGTATGACCGTGGTTTAATCTCGTGTTTATGTTTGTCTATACGTGTAGATTCAAATGTTTGTGTGTGTAGATGGAGTGACATAAATACACTGACGTTTAATGAATTAACTCCATACCAGCATTCTCCTACAACCATGACAACAACCTTCCAGGAATGAGAGGTATAAGATTCTATCACTCTGCATTTCGCCACTTCAGTTAGTCGCAGTAGTACAAGTATGTAGGGGGACCATATTGAGTACGTACTTTTGTGGGTCTTAACAAGCATGGACGTCCTAGCTCTGTGTCTCGTCTGTGTAAAGAAAAAGCATGTAGTTATATATAGTAAGGTTAGTACTCTCTCACGTGTATGTACATATTGTTTGTCACAGTTCTCTACATAGTTTACAGTTACAGTGATTGCCTTGTTTGTTTAGTTACAGTGATTGGCTCATTTGTTTACAGTTACAGTGATTGGCTCGTTTGTTTACAGTTCTATATATATAGTTTACCGTCACAGTAATTATTTATCTAATTTATCATGTAGTTGTATACAGTAGTTTACCATCGCAGTATGAACTTTACCTGATAACTTCAGGACATTTTTGTTCATATGAGTGAATAGGACAGGGGCCGCATACACCTCATCAGTTACGTGCAGTAGCAGAGATACAGGGGCCGCATACTCAAACACATTTACGGGACTGCATCTCTTTGTTTACCCCGTAACTGGACTTACAGTCTCTGATCAGTATACTTGAAACAAATATTTGGCAGCGGACTCCGGAAGTGAGCCCGTAATCTAGCCCTTAGCTTACAGGACCTAAGGAGATGCTGTAACACGATCAACCTGGATATAGTAGTCGCTATTTCCCAATTGCATAAAAAAATACTATATGTTGTAATAATGCTTGTTAGACTTGTTGTATCATAGAATAATAAAGAAAATGTTTTGTACATCAATATACTTAAATACGATATTACTGTTTGTCTTTTTAGTTCATTTTTTTACGATAATGAGAGGCTCGACGCCTGTATTATTAAACAACATCTTCCCTTGAAGAGGGTCGTCGTGTTTCAACCCGAGTTTCAAACTAAATGAGTCCTAAGGGACACCGCAGTACTGTACTTAACGGGGTGGTGTGGCGGTAAAATTAACTAATTCCAATAATATTAATTTATAATATTGG